TCATTAGTCATTAGGGAAATGCAAATTAAAACCATAATGAGATACTACTGCATATCTACTACAATGTCTAAAATTTTAATTGAGCAAAGCAAGTGCTGGCAAGGATCAGAGAAACCAAATCAATATTGCTGGTGGGAATGTAACATGGTACAGCCATTCTAGAAAATAATTTTTCAATTTCCTCTAAAACTAAAAAGGCACACACTTATCACATGACCCAGCTGTTGCACTTTTAGGCATTTGTCCCAAAGAAATGAAAACCTAAGTTCATGCAGATACCTGTACATACACGTTCATAGCAGCTTTATTCATAATAACCAAAATTGGAAACAACCCAAATATCCTTCAGTGAATGAAGAACAAACTGGGATACTACTCAGCAATAAAAAAGGTACAGATTATTAATACATGCTCAACGGACTATGCTGCATGAAAAAAATCCAGCCTCAAAAAGGTTACATATTATATGAGTCTATTTATGTAGCATTCTTGAAATAACAAAATTATAGAGAAGGAGAACAGATTAGTTGTTTCCAGGGATTAGGGATGGTGGTGGGGATAGGAGTAGGTGTGGCTATAAAGGGGTAGCAGGAGGTAGCTTTGTGGTGATAGAATAATCCTATGTTTTGGTCGTGTTGGTAGTTATACAAAGCTACATATGTGATAAAATTGCATAGAGCTATGCACACACACACACACACACACACACACACAGAAAGGTGTGTATAACTGGTGAAATCTGAATTAGCTCTGTGGATTATGCCAAGAGCAGTTTCTTAAATTTGATAAAGTACTGTAGTTATACAAAATGTCAACATGGGGAGAGGAGGAATAAAAGCAGCACAGGACCTTCCTATACATTTCTTTACAATTTCCTGTAAATCTCTTAAGTATTTCAAAATAGTTTTTTAAAAAGTAACCTATATAGTGTTTTATGACTCCTTCATTAAATAATAAATCTAGTGTTTCAGAGTTTTTTAATATTATTTTATATCAGCTTGCCTTGGTAATAAGGTTATAGAAGCTTCCTAAAAACTTAACGATATAACATAATTTTAAGTTCATTGACTAAGATAACAGGACTAAGAACAACAGAAAAATTTTATCAAGGCAAAAAAATTGATTGTATGAGATTAATACTAACAATTATACTTGCATCAGCTAGCAAATTCTGTCACACTTACTTTAAAAGCTAAAAACATCTATCGGCTATAAACTTTGACAATATTACAAACATTTTAAATAACATACTTTTTTTCAATACTAGCTTTTATTTGTGATCACATGGATATATCCTTACGGTGTGAGTTGATTCTGCGTGGCATAGTTCTTCATTTGAAAAGTTGATCTAAAATAAAACTTGAAACATTTTTATAAGAAGTAAAATAAACTCCTAATTCCTCTATACTAACTCAGTTGTTTTCAGTTTTCCATTTTATCTTCTATACTCCACATGCTCACCTATTTTTGCATATTTTTAATCACAACATAAATGCCAATAATTATTCTAAAGTATAACATTATGGGCTGAAATGTATCTCTCTCAAATTCATATGTTGAAGTCCTAACTCCCTGGTACCTTGGAATATAACTATATTTGGAGTTAGGGTTCTTAAAGAAACAATTAAATTTAAACGGGTGGGCTCTAATCCAAAATGACTGGTATCCTTACAAGAAGAGGACATTTAGAAACAGACACACACAGAGAGAAGACAATGTGAAGACACGGGGAGAAGGTGGCCGTCTACAAGCCAAGTAGAGAGGCCTGGAACAGATCTGTCCTTTATGACTCTCAGAAGAAACCAACCCTGACATCTTGATCTCAGACTTCTAGCCAACAGAGCTGTGAGAAATGAATTTCTATTAATTAAGCCACCCAGTCTGTGATACTCTGTTATGGCAGCCCTAGCAAACTAATAAATGTAGTAAACCCCGTATACACTGCACACATTATTCAGATACTTTAAAAGATTTTCACATTAAAATTAATTTACATTTAAAATCAAAGTCCAAAATAGGAAGGAAGTTTCTAGAAAAATGCATTGTTTAATATTTTCTTGCTGACAAAGTATGCTGAATATTAAGTAGAAGATACAAGTGAAGTATTTCCTATTCTTCTAATTAGTGGTTATCACTTTATGTAATCAATATTTTTAAGTCTGAGTTTTCATAGATTAGGTTTTCTCAGATCAGAGCATAGCTATTTTAGTAGAAGAAATTTCAGAAAAAAATAATATTTTTACCAAGGCAGAATATTTTAGCAAGCATAGAATCAGTTTGCTTCCACTCTCAAAATAGCTCTTGACCGAATAGCTCTTGAACTTTTAAAATTCAAGTTCTGAATTAGGCTTAGAAATGTAGTCCACATTTTTTTTATAAAATTGATGAAATTGGGGATAGAATAGGCCTATTTGCTTATCCTATTAAAAATGTTTCCTTCTTTTAGATGTGTGTGTTTACTGCCTTATCAAGTCTTACATTAAATAATTTGCGGCTCAAAATGCTTGCCTCTGAAGTGAAGGGAGAGTTAAGATAAACACATATTTAGGATTTTCAACTAGTGGTATATTAGAAGTTTTGTGCAATAATGCCTTTACTCACTTAGTAGCTATTTATTGAGCTTCTGTTAATTCTAGAATGTTGTGGCAGAAATTATGGGAGGAATAAAAAATGAATGGGATATTACCTCTGGCCTAAAATAACTTACGGTCAAATAGTAGGTCACATGTATGCATATGATCAGTGCCATAGAAATAGTGTAACTGGTGCAAGTTACAGATCTGGTCAGGAAAGATTTCCAGGCAGAGATAGCCTAAGAGCTGTGGTAGGTCCACACATATGAGGCTAGGAGGACCTTCTTTATGGGGCGGTGCAAAGACAGGGAAAGTGTATGGTGGGTACAATGACCAGAATAGGTTGATCATAATTTATGAACCCAAATTGGGACACATAAGTGGCAATTATGAAGTTGTATTAATGATGAAAGTAGGATTAAGTATTTGACACCAGGATTGCCATAGGTACAGGGGATATATAATTTGCCAAGGGTGAGTTGGTGAGTTAATTGACCCCCATTGAGTTTACTCTCCTATTTCCATGTTAGAAACCTCCTGTTAAAAATCTTACTGTACTTTTCCATGTGTTAGAATATATTTCACAAATGAATTTGTATTACAAATTCTTATGCTTTTAATGTCAGATAGAAAGTGACATTGACACAAGGAGTTATTTTAGAGACAGATAGTAGTGTACACTAAGAGAGTCAGCCTGTGAACCTAAGCAGTACCATTCTGGCAAACGATAAATAGGTCACAGCATGTGCGCACTCCTCTGCAGTGTCATTCGGACTTAATCATAGACAGATATGGTTACGGTATGGTACAGTTTATTCAGCCATAAGAAGCTACCATTATGGCTAGAAAAATTACCCAGGAAGACTTCTTGGGCCTGAAGAAAAATTGCAACCTCCTTATTTTCTTTAACTACATAAAAAAAAAAATTCTATGTACTACTGTGTTAGTAGCTTTCCTCACACAAATGGGAACATATCCATAAATTTTTAGAAGCATATAGCTATTCCTAGGGGAAAATATTCCCATATAAAGGAACCATTGGAATATAGTAGACCCCCACTTATTTGATCCCTGCCAATTTATTTCTCTAGGTTTTCCATTTTGAGTAGGAATTAAAGGTGAAGATGGTGCCAAGACCCCTTGTGTTCGTGCCCTAGGTCTACCTTAAATGCCACTTTTTCTTCCAGATGTACTTTCTTCCCACAGAAAGGCATTTTGCTTTTCTCTCCTTATACCACATTCCTGATCCTACTCATCACCATCCCTTGGGGCATGCTCTCTTCTCTGTGCTCTGTTCAGCGTACTGCTTTACTTCTTCTGCAACCATTTACTGGCCATATTGCCTCTGCAGCCATGTCTGTCCCATGGATGTCTACTTCTGGTCTTCGCTGGCCCATGTGGCTACTATTTCTGCTGTGATGGCTCCAAGACCAGTAAACCAAGCCAACCTCCTTTGACACCCAATAACACACTAAACCCATCACATAGTCCAGGATGAGCTAAGCAAGGAAGAAATGCCAAGTGAGCTCTCTGAAAAAGCACACTGTCCAGATTTTCATGTAGATCACATCCTCATCAGTTCAGTTAATTGTTGTTGTACAAATTTTATAGTATTTTTATTATTATTGCATGTGTGTTTGTATATTTTAATGGTGGCTTAAGGCAGCAGTGCTGAAAACACTAAGCAAAGGAGACCTTGATAATTAGCATTCTGAAGGATAAAATGTTCCATGAATTTCTCACAAAATTATATAAAATTAGCACATTTAAATCTACATAATGCTGTGAAGGCATATTGTTATTAAACTTAATCTAAGTAGATAGAATAATGAGAATTGATTGCTATGATGAAATTCTGCCCTTATTTTGAGGGGACAGAGTGTTATTAGAACCATTAAGATATATTAGCTAATACTTTCTGCCCATAAATTTATTAGTTTTAGACACTATATCCTTTTATTTCTCTCCACCCCTACCACCTTTCTTCATAATTTGTATAGAATATGTCCTAGTTATCTCCTAGAAATACTTCCCAACCAGCTCATGCTAACACATTTAAATTTACTTTTCTGAACCATGTTGCCAAGAAAACAATTTAATTTCAATAAAACCCAGAACATTACATGGATATTATTTTATTCATTCATGTATTTAAAAAGCAGGCAGGATTGCCATTTAATACAATTTAAAGGCTTAAAAAAACTACTAAAAGGTTTCATGCATCATTTAGCAATACAATCCTTTTTTCACTTATTTTTCAGAATAACTACTAAATTAAAACTTAACTTTTTGGTTAGGTGTCACTATACTCTCAGAGAGGTCATGTTGGCTTTCAACTATTCATTTTCTAAAAGAAAATAATCATTTTTTAAGAAATGTTTTATGATCCAGTGTTATCTATTTGTAAACTTTGAATTTTCTTTACAGAAATAAAGATGCTAAATAAAAGTTTGACAGTGTCCCAGAGAAATAATGTATGCCTTGAAGAGGAAATGAAAAATCTGAAATTGTTGTCAGATGCAGCCATATTGAGATCTCAGCAAATTGAGATATCCAAACAACAGGAAGTAAACTTGCAAACCAGATGCCATGACTTGCAAAAGGAAGTACTAGGTAAAAGAATTACTTTTTGCTGCTGTTAGCAACTAGACATAATAAAATAATGTCTAAATTTTTATTTCTCTCATGATCACAACAAAATCTTGTTTTAACTAGTTTGTGTTGTAGATATGCCTAATTATTAATAACAATGCCAATAACTGTTTCTGTGATAAATGTTTGCTATCATCCATTCCTATTCTGCCATTTAGATTGGCAAGTATTAAGTGAATATATTAAAGACATTTCAAGTACAAAGTGAGATTTCAGGAAAACAAAGTAGAATTTTCTTTTGTATATCATTATTCCCAGTGGATGGTGGTTTAGAGTACTGAAGGAAAATATAGCATATGCTGTTATATAAGGTGATTCCAAATTTTTAGGCATTTCTTCATTTTCCCAAATGAAAAGGTTAAAAATTATGTTTTGGGAACCTTGGGCAAGGCTTTAAAATTTTTACCTTAGAACAATGAGTATGTTAGCAGTAAGGCTATGGGGTTTGTACTTTTTCCTGAAGGCAGTAAGCAATCTTTGAAAATTGGTAATCAGGAGAATGATATAACACAAGCAGTGTTTTAGCAAAATTAAGCTACTATCAACATATGGGGGTGTTCCAAATATCAAGAAATTGGAGTCAGGTAGCCATTTAGAAAATATCATTGCTGGTAACCCGGTCCCTAGACTAACCATAAGAAACTGAAGTAGGGTAGAGAACTAACATTTTTTAGGTCCTAATGTGTGCTAGAAACCATGTTAGCACTGTACATAAATTACTTCTGTCACTTCTCACAATGATCATGAATAGCAGGTATAATTATCCCATCTTACAGAGGAGAGAATGAAGGTCCAGAGAGGTAACATACTTGTTCCCACATAGCTGGTAAATGGCAGGGAGTGAAAGCAAACCTAGTTGGACTCCAAGACTCATGCTCGTCCCACTATGTCTCCTTGGCCCTCTCCATGGCCACACTGGGAAGGCTTAAATAGAATCAGGGTTGAGAGGACTACCCAGGAATAGAGAGGTAAACACCTGGCTGAGTAGACAAGGGCGAGAAAGAAGTCACAGAGGGCTCTGAACTTCTTTGCTTGGAAGTCTTTAGTGATGGGAGCACACCACAGACTAGAGAAATCTGGAGAGGAACTGATTCTGAAAGAGAAGAGAAGTTGTCACATGAACTTGGAAGCAATATGGAACTAGATACAAACTTTAAAATCAGATATTTTAATTTTTCTCTTGTGAATTACCTATTCGTAGATTTTGCCAATGTTCTATTGTATTACTAGAATTTTCCTTAACAATTTTAAGAGGGGTTTATATAGTAAAGTAATTATCTTCTATATTCAATTTTTTTCTAATGTATAATTTGTCTATTGACTTTTCACAGTAAATTGCACCATATCAAAGTTTTTCTTTTGGGTATCATCAAATTAATGTCTTTTATTGTTTCTGGTTAGTCTTGGTTAAAACAGTCCATTCCATTCCTAGATTATACATATGGTCTCTTGGGTTTTCTTTCATTTAAGTCAGTAGCACGTATGGAATTTATTTTTTATATGATGTGAGATTTGGGGCTCCAGTTTTATTCTTTCCAAATACATAGCCAGTTGTATCAGTATTATGTATTAAATAATCCATCCTTCTCCCACTAAATAAACCTACTACCTGTCATATGTCAAAATTTCACAAATGCTAGTATCTATTATTGTATTCTCTTTTCTGTTCCACTAATTTATTAGATGTACCATTAATATCATATTCATTTGACTTAATAGTATATTCTCATAGCTGGTAAAGTTTATTCTCTCTCCTTTGTTCTTACTTTTTAAATATATATTTGAAGGCAGTTATTCTTTGATTTGAATTTTAAGATCATTTATTTACCTCTAATCCAAAGACTCTGATAGATATCTAGTAAAGTTTTTCTCTTCCAGTCTGTATACTTTTATTACATATTCACAGCAGGTATTCTTCCACATAAACTTTAAGATAATATCATTAAATTCTGATATTAACAGGGATTCTAATTGGGATTACATTATATTTATACTAATTTTTAGAGAATTGACATTTTTAGTGATACTAAGTCTTTTTAATATTATAAAAGTTTATTCATTCAAGATATGGTATGTCCTTATGTTGTTTTATGTTCTTTAATATAATTTTATAGTTTTATTTGAATGTTTCTTTGCCATTCTTTTAAAACTTATGACTATCATATTTGCATCTACTGTGAATGAACTATTTGCTCTATCTCGATGTCCTGATATTGATAGATGAAAAAAGGCTACTGATTTTTATATATTTGTCTCATATCCATTAAATTTACAAAATTCTCATATTACTTCTAGTGGTTTTTATTTAGTGTCTCTTGGATTTTCTAGCTGTGCATTTATATGACCAGCCCCAATGCCCCCCAAAAAGAGTTCATCTATTCTTTTCCAATGTTTATATATTTTATCTTATTTCTTGTCTTGTTCATATCTTATTAAATCTATTTGAACCTCTGAAACTGTGTTAAATAATAATGGTGACAGTGATCATCCTTGTCTACTTCCTGATTTTAATTGAAATCATTCGGTGTTTTTCCACTTGGAATTATATTTGATGTTTGGTTTTTGGTAAATATTGTTTATTTTTAATCAAATATTTTCCTTCTATTCCAACTTTACTTAAATGTTTTATTAGAATGCTTTTGGATTTTGTTATATGCCTTTTCAGCATCTATTGATATTAAGCATGTTTTTTCTCCTTTAACCAGCTGGTAAAATGGATTCGTATTACTAAATTTCCTGATACTACTTTTTTACATATCATTTTCTACATGGTTATATTTTATTTATAAGTTCAGTACCTACATTTATAAATGAGATTGGTCTATAATTTTTCTTTATTAAGGGGCACTAATTAGAGTTTTGTGTTAAAATTAAGTGATGTTAATAAATAGGTTTAATAACATTTGATTGTCTGTTTTTTAAAGGTTAGATAAAACTTGAATGTGAACCCAGTATCATTAAGTAAAATTCAATTATGAACTCATCTGATTCTGGTGCCTCTTTAAATGGTAATTATTTAATGTTTCCAGAGTTTTCTGTAGTAATTTGACTATTTAAATCTTCAGTTCTTCTGAGCTGTTTTTATTGTTTATATTTTGACAGGAAATCATTCATTTTTCTCTTAAGATTTCAGATTTGTATCCATAATATGGCATGTAATACTCTTATTTTTAAAATATCTCCTCTATCTGTGGTGATACCTGATTTCTGATTTTTAATGGTATCTACTTTTATTTATCTCTTATTATCAGGCTTTCAAAGAACTAGCTTTTGGGTTTTTTGTTTTTAATGCTTTCTACTGCTTTTATTTTCCATGACATTACTTTTGACTTCTATGTTTATTAATTTTTTCTTCCTGGTTTCTTTTTGTTTTTTGTTTTCATTTTTTAGACTTCTGAAAGGACTACTAAGTTCTTTTATTTCTCATCTTTTTTGTTTAATAATAGAGGCATTTCAAAGTATAAATTTTTGTTTGAGTAAACTTTGTATCTCATAACTTTTAATATTATTTTTTTTTCAATGCTATCTAAATACTCTGTATTTCTTATTTTTTCTTAGATTAAAGGTTATCTAGGAATATATTTCTTAGTTTCTAATTTGTTTTGCAAGGGAGTTACTTTTTTATTATTTATTTAACTTAGGGACATTCTGATTAAATAATGTGACATAATACCTCTGTGAATTTGTTAAGCTTTTCTTTATGTTGAGTACATGATCAGGTTTTGTAAATGTTCCTCAGAAATTCAAAATAAAATATAATTCTCAACTTGATGGATGTAATGCTAACTTAGCTAGGTGTAGAATACTTGAGTTCTTTTCTCTCAGTAGACTGTTTATGCTAATGCTTTGACTTCTAGCTTTCAGTGTTGCAAATGAGAAGCCTACCTACAGCTCTTATTCTTTTTCCTTTAAAGATAACTCATCCATTTACCTGGAAGCTTGTTAGATTTCCCTATCTTTTTTTTTTTTTCGTTGGACCTCAGGATTATTCAGTTGGATCACTCAGTTTGTTCATGACATGTATACTGGCTAGGACTTCATATACAGTTTTGACTAGAATAGGGATAGTGGGCATCCTTGTACCATTCACAATTTTACAAAAACACACTGCTAAATAACTTTGGGGTTTAAGCAGAAATTATAATGAATATAAAATATCTGCAATTGAATGGTCTTAAAAAACACTATGCATCAAAAACTTGTGGGATGTAGCCAGAGTGGTGCTTTGAGGGAGATCTATAGCTTTAAATACTTACATCAGAAGGAGGGAATAAACTCAAAGAACATAGAAGAAAAAATACAATAAAAATAAAAGCAGCTCTCAGTGAAATAGAAAACAAAAATATGATAAAGAAGATCAATAAAACAAAACATTGATAAAAAATAAAATAAAATAGACAAACCTCTAGCAAGTTTGATCATAGGAAGAGAGAATATACAAATGAAAAATATAAGGCATGAAACAGAAACAGTGACTACAGATAAAAAGTAAAAAGAAAAGTGAATGCTGCCAACAACTTTGAAATCTTAGATGAAATGGACATATTATTAGAAAAATATATCTTACCAAGACTTACTCAGAAAAATTAAATGTTCCTATAACTATTCAAGAAATTGCAGCAATATCTTCTCACCAGGAAAGGGCTAGATTATTTAACAAGCAAGTTCTACCAACTTTCAAGAAACAGAGGATCCTAATTTTACACAATATTTTCTAAACAACCAAAAATTGGAAATATTTCCCACCTCACCCTACAAGGCGAGGGTAACCCTGTTACCAAAATCAAGACAAAGATATTAAAAGAAAAGAATATTATAGACCTATTTATATTACGAATATCAGTGTAACAATTTCAACTGTATATTTGATACTTTAAAAAATATTTTGAACCACTTGAATGTATTACTCATTTAAAAAATTAATGAAGTTATAAGTAAAAACTATGCCATGCTATTATTTTAGACTTCAGAGAGGAGAACAAATT